ATATGAATTGTTTCTCTCTAGCCAAGTCTTTATTCAAGACATCTTTCAAATAATTGATTATTGCATGGAATGGCTTGAGTAATAAATTGTTTCAAAGATTTTGCCTTTGGCATTGTCAATAACAAATCTTTGGCATTATCTTTTAATTCATATCAAAATTGATTGATAAGGGCTTTGTCATTCTAGTCCACATCACAAGCAAGTTTTTGGAATTTAGTAGCATATATGATAGCTGACCGTGATCCTTGCTATAAAATTAAGAGCTTGATCTTTGCTACTCTTTTTCAATAACTTTCTCCAAATATGGTCGTGAATACTTCTAGAAATTAATTCAAATCATAAAAGAGTTATAAATCCTTTTCCATTAAAGATACAAATCAAGAGAGAGCACTTCTTGATAGAAGTGTACCTATGAATCTAACTTGAATAAATCCATCAAAATATTGAAAGAGATGCAATCTTAAATAGAGCTTGACTTGTTGCAAAAATCCTCAAATTTTTCATCTTATTCCATCAAACTTCTTAAGCATACTAATCCTTATCCTTGTCATATTTGTTGAAGAAAAAGTCACTAGATTTGGTTGTGAGATAGATCTTCTTGCTTTCTTCAACTGCACAATTTCTTGTCATAGACTTTGAACTTTTTTTGTAGGCATAGGAATAGTACCTCCATGATTTGTATTGGAAATATGTGAGATTTCTACACTTAGAGTATTCACAAGCTCATAAAAATCTACAATAGTTGCAAATCTATTTTCACTTATGATAAGAATAACATCCATAATCTTTCCTTCCATAGACAACTTAAACAAATTTAACAAGTTAAATTAAAAGAAGATAATTGACAACCTCTAATATCAAATGAAAATTTCCACAAAAATGGATAATCATCTCTTTTTAAAGAAAAGATTAGTATTAGAAAACAAGATTATTTGTTTAAAGGTCGATAGTCCACAACCTTCAAAACACAACAATAGTAGTGGAGTAATCCTCTTACTTTTAAAATAAGATAGAAATAATAAGTTAAGACTTATCAAATTGTCAAGGACATGAATTTTGGAAAAAGAAAAATCATCAATACATTCTTATGACATTGAAAAGAACTAGAAAGTCATTCAAAGTGAATATAATATTAAATTAAAATGACTATTGGCAAAAAAAATCAAACTTGAAAGTCTTAAAACTAGACAAAGGACTAGAAAAGCATTGATAAGAGTGAAGAAGGCTTTATTCTTGCCTCCATATATACTATTAACTAGGAGCTATGTGACGATGTCTTATAGGACCTTTAAAACATGTTGATTTTGGAAGACACATATCTTGACTTACAAGGCAAGTTTTTTATATGTGCACTACATAGTTAGCTATCAATACATGATTAATTTTTTGACTAAGTTTCTAACCTACTAATTAACTATAAATACATGTAAAGTCAAAGCAATGTCTATAGAGAAGTTTCTTAGAAGGTATTATGAAATTAATATATTTTTATCTACTTTTACTTACTTCTATGTAATTATATAGGTATTTATAAGAATATATATATATATATATATATATATATATATCTGTGACAAAAAGTGAAAATAATTCTATTGTAATGTGGTGAAAGAAAAAATCTATATTTCTTTTATTACAAAAGGATTGACAAGCTAACTTAGAACCTTGGCCACTTCCAATGACCAAATCAAGTTTCTTTCATGGAATTAATAATTAAAATGAGTCATTCACTATTATGTAAGCTACTTGCAATATATAATGTAATAACTCAAAAGTGGACAAGGATATTGCCATTGAATTTTAAACTTAAGTGAATTAATATATGGAATAAAAAAAGAGTGCTGAAAGAGACAGGGTTACTTTATCTCTTTTGATATTGAGTATTAGCTATAAACATGTAGAAAAGCAGATTCAATGAAAACATCAATTAATGTTGTTTGATAAATTTAAATAAGGTAAGCAAATCAGTAATTTAAAAATTTTGAGAGTGTATCCCTACAGAAAAAAATATGAAAATTGAGAATTCATGTTATTCAACTGTTGGCTCATACATACCAAATAATACAACTAAGGAGACTAGAAATAAATGATCCTTCCAATAGAAAGCAAAAAAGGAGTCTATATGATCATAAATAGAGATATAAGAAGTGGTTATAATTGTCTAATAAATTCTCTATAATTCTCCTCTTTTTGGAGGTATTGTATTTTTGCATATACAATGACTCAAAAAACTATTTCAATATTGATAAATTTTGGAAAAAATGGAGTATTTCAAATGAATTGTAATGAATAATAACATGTGATTTGTACAATAAATAAAGTATTCCTTTATAGCTATCAAATAAGCTTAGGTTAAAAAGAATATATTAGGTAATTGTGGAGCTATGACCAATTTAATTTGAAATAGTATTGAAACAATTTTTTGAGTGTTGTGTCTAATTTTTGGATTCTATTGATTTGTCAACATTACATCATTCTATCATAATCAGATTTGTTATGACAATATTATTACTAATCTAATGACATCATTAATGCTTACTAGTAGCTACAAAAGCACCATTCTTAATTATAATTTTTAGCATGGATATATTCCAAATTACGACATTTAAGGACCTTCTAGAATCTTTTGTTAATTTTTAGAACCTTCTAGATACTTTTGAAATCTTCTACAATCTTTTAGAAAGTTCCATAGGCTTCTAGAAGCTTTTTTAGACTTCTAAAACTTCCATAGAAAGTACCATAAACTTCTATAACATTCATTATAGTAGGAATAAGAATATTTGGAACCTCTTTTGCTACAAATCTCATTCTTTGTCTTTAATCTTGACATATTTTTTTCTCAGATTCTTGTTTTCTTGCCAATTCCTTCAACAAGTATGAAATCAATTCCCTGCTCTCTCCAAGACAACATCACCTCTATTTTTCTTCATTCTCAAAAATCTTATTGCCAAATTGCTTTTAAACTTAGTTATAGTAAAGCTACTACATTTAGGTTAACAAAAAAGATCACTTTTAATAAGAAGAATCTTAAATTAGGCAGACCAAAGAAGCTCACTGTAGTAGATGAAAGAACAATTATTTGCCAAATCAATACTAGGAAGGCTGAAAATATTGTTGAGGTTACTAAAAAACCTTAAGAATATTATTAATAATCATGAGTCAAACCAAACCATTTGAAATATTCTCAAGAAATGGAATATGAAAGCCATGGTGAAGAAAAAAAAAAAAAAAAAAAAAAACTTTACTATCTACCTACCATTAGAAACAATGCTTGGATTTTGCTTTGAAGTACAAAGAATGGACTGTAGAGGATTGGAAGAGTATTATTTGATCAGATGAGACAAAAATCAACAAATTTGGATTAGATGGCAGAAAGTGGATGTAGAAACAAAAGAGTCATTCTTTGCTTGATAAGAAGATCTAAGAAATAGTTAAGCATGGAGGTAGAAATATAATGGTATGGAATTATATAGAATGGAATGGGATTGGAAGGATGGCAAAGATTGAGAGGAGGATGGATGCCAAGCAATTTGTAGAAATTCTTGAAAAAAACTTGCTGTCTAGCATTGAAGAATCTAGCATTTTTGAAGAGAAGGTGATTTTTTTATTAAGATAACAATCTCAAGCATAACTCTAAACTAGCATGAAAGTAGTTTGATCATCATGGGATTAAAGTAATGGATTGGCTTCCTCACTCTCTTGATCTTAATCTTATTGAACATCTTTGGAAGTACCTCAAACACTAGCTCAACACCTAAAAGATAAAACCAAAGGAATTTTGGGAATTATAGAAAAAAATAGGTGCAAAATGGAATAATATTGAAGCAATTTTGTGCCAAAAAGTTAATAGAAAGTATGTCTAGGAGGTTGGAAGCAATTGATCTATCAAGGCCTAAGGAAGTCCTACAAAGTGTTAATATGTAATTGGATACTATACTCAAAAAAATATTTCAATATTGTTCCATATTGGATTCGTCATAGCTCCACAATTACTTAATGGATTCTTTTCAACTTGGATTCATTTGATAGCTGTAAAAGAGTACTTTATTTGCTATACATATCACATATCATTATTCACTACAATTCATCTATAATACACAATTCTTTCCAAAATATGTCAATATTGAAACAATTTTTTGAGTCATTGTAGGATCCCATGCAGATTTAAATTGGTAAGTCATTTGTAGGTGTTACTTTGTGGCATAGTTAATAGTTGTTGTAGATCAAGAGGAACAATTCCGCCTTCAACAGTTGGCAGAGAAAAAGTTGTATCAAACGATTGGGCTTCATCTCATCAATTATGGTATAAATGCAAGGTTCTAAACCCAGAAAAGAATGCAGCAGAGTTTGTTTAAGGCGCCTGAATGGACACAATTTTTTTACCAACAGTGGTGCAAAATCAATATTTTGGCTATGTGGATGCAAAACATACCAGATTTAAAACTTATTGGGCCCAATAGTAGTTTTGTACATAATAGTATGCAGTAATCTAACCCACCTGGCTGGACCTAGCTGGGGTAGTGTACTCTAACACACTGCACTAAAGAAATCTTTATCTGTGTCTTAAAAAAATAATTAATAATAATAACCAAAAGCCCATCAGAAACTCGGGGAACATGCAATTATACACCCGCGTTCCCACCAGACAACAGGTTGGGGACTCGAGTTCTCGGAAGAGAGAACGGTTCCCGTACGTTCCTCGTCAACCCGTGCTCTCGCTCTCTCGCTCTCTGGCGTCGCGCCCCTCCTCGTCCTCCTCGTCCGTTCAATGAAGGGCGAGGTTGAAACGGGGGTCCCTTCCCTCCGCAGATTGCTTCCTCCGCAGATTGCTTCCTCCGCAGACTATTCCGCACCTGGGCCATTGCACCACCTCCATCGCCCATCTGTGCTCTGCGAGAGCGACCCCAAGGGTGTTGAGAACGCGGAACTTCCTTTGATTGCGTGGGTCAAAAAGGGAAAACTTCCGAGATTGTGAGGGGGCTGGTGGTGATGAGGTGCGTGCTCGACTTGTATTGCAATCAGTCGTCGATCTTTGTAGCGTTGCGGTTTGATCCCAGCTTGTAGCTTTGTGCTGGTTTTGGTGCGTAGCGTGCTTTTGGACTTGCGGGAGAGGTTGGTGTTGAGAGAGTTGGGAGGTGCAATGAGCTGTGGAGGGGGAGATGATGATGGATGCTGGCAGATTGGGGCAGTGTGACAGCAATGTGCCCAGTGGGGGTCCACACGGTGATCGTAACTTAGATATCAGTTTTTTAGACATTTGTACTGAATTGGTGTTAATCTTCCCTGTGATGATGTGTACTCGGGACGATGGAGTTGCCAGGACGTAGCTATGGATTTAGCTCGGATCAGGAGAAGGTGGGAATTGTTTACTTTCGGCACCGGAATTTCGCAAAAGCTTTATAAGCGCGCACTAATGTGTACCTCGATTTGTGCTGGCAGTCGTACGTTTGACAAAATCCTCCCTCGATACCATGGACCTCGTAACCTGGCCACCTCGCATTTAATGTCCTCCTCTGATGGTTGTTTTCTTCGGCTTTATCACATTTTTTGGACCTTCAGTTTTCTGTGAATTCCTAGATGAATCTCACATCCCTACTTAGCGTGCACGATCCCTGCTCATTTGGAGCAGTTTTCATCGAACCAATTGTGGCCAAGTTACATGCACAATGTGCACAGATCAGAACCAGTTGCTCCGTGGTGCAATCAATTTCGTGCAAGGAAGCTCTGATGGGAAGCAGGGGGATGAGTAGCGACTGGAACTGCGCAGCGATATGGAGGTGAGAACTCGGAGAGATATGTCCCAAAGATGACAGAGACAACCCAGACAGGCGCACGTTCACCTTTCAGACCCTTGCCATGCCACGCCTTGCTCGCAGTCTTTACAGCTTTCATCTTGGTGGTGGTGGCTGTGAATCCCGACGGGAAAGCGCTGCTCGCTTTCAAAGCTGGCTTGGACGACCCCACAGGGATTTTGAATTCCTGGAACGACGCCGATCCGTATCCATGTTCATGGGACGGGGTTACGTGCAACGAAAACCTCAGAGTACAACTCATCTTGCTTCAGGATACGCAATTGTCGGGTCCAATTGCTCCCGTGTTGCGCAATCTCTCGGAGTTGCGTACCCTCGTCCTCTCGCGTAATAACTTTTTCGGGCCGCTGCCCTCTGAAGTCGGCCAAATTGGTAGGCGCTTTGGGAAACCTTTATGATTGATTTGATTCAATTTCGGTGCAAGAGGCATGGTTTGGGGATAGCTGAGAATGAAAAAGAATTTGTGCAGGGAGCTTGTGGAAATTGAATGTGAGTGACAATGCGTTGTCGGGCTCCCTCCCTTCATCGCTCGGGAACTTGTCTCGCCTCCGCATGTTGGATCTCTCCAAAAACGCATTTACGGGGGAGATTCCACCCAATCTTTTCAGGTACTGCGAGACCCTACGGTACGTCTCTCTCGCTGAAAATGGATTCACCGGGGTGATTCCCGACACGCTCTGGAGCTGCACGACGCTGGTGGGCGTAAATGTAGCCCTCAATAGCCTGCAGGGCACCGTACCGCCTAAGCTGGGCGGCTTGGTACATTTAGAGTTTCTGGATGTGCACAGGAACAAGCTCTCAGGTGCCATCCCCTTGCAACTGGCGCTTCTATCAAATGTCATCTACTTGGATTTCAGCAATAACCAGCTCGCGGGTGGTATTCCTCCGGCAATTGCCGCCTTGAAGCTCCTGAATTTCGTCGATTTTAGCAACAATCCCATTGGAGGCTCTGTTCCTTCGGAGATTGGCGGTCTCACAGCTTTGGAAAGAATGGGCTTGTCGAACATGAGTTTGCAAGGGAATATTCCCGCGAGCCTCGTCAATCTCACTTCTCTGCAAAATTTGTAAGCCTCCATATCCTGCGAGCTCCAGCAAGTCCATTTTGATCAAGGCGTGAATTGATAAGACCTGTGTTGATGATCTGTGCAGGGACATGTCCACCAACAATCTGACGGGGGCCATTCCCCCCGAGCTAGGGCAGATTGCAGCCATGCAGGACTTGTTCTTGCAAAACAATTCTTTGAACAGCACCATTCCGGCGAGCCTCGTTAGTCTTCTAAATTTGACGGGTTTTAACGTCTCCTACAATCGCCTCTCGGGGAGAATACCAACGACGAATGCGTTTTCCCGGTTTGACAATTCTTCCTATCTTGGCAACTCAGGTTTGTGCGGGCCACCGCTGAGCTTGCGTTGCGAGCTGGAGTCATCGCCGGAGCCGCGCGTGCACACTGACCGGCGGTTGCTGAGTGTGTCAGCACTGGTCGCAATTGCAGCCGCTGGTTTCATTGCGCTGGGGGTGGTGATCATTGCTTTATTAAGCATCTGGGCAATGCGTAAGCAGAACCAGCAGCCGAAAACTGAAATTCTTGTGTACGAAAGCACGCCTCCGTCGCCGGACGTGAACCCCATCATTGGCAAGCTCGTCCTCTTTAACAATACGCTACCCACGCGGTTCGAGGATTGGGAGACGGGAACAAAAGCGCTTCTGAATAAGGAGTGCCTGATCGGGCGAGGCTCCCTAGGGACCGTGTATCGGGCCACCTTTGACGATGGGTTGTCGATCGCAATAAAGAAGCTCGAAACCTTGGGCCGGATAAAGAATGCGGAGGAGTTTGAATCTGAGATGGACAATCTCGGCGATGTGCGGCACACGAACATCGTCACCTTGCAAGGGTACTATTGGTCGTCATCAATGCAGCTCATGTTGTCGGATCACATTGCAAACAGGACTCTGGCCTCGCATTTGCACCAGCAGCCGGGAGCTCAGACATCCCTGGTGTGGTCGCGGAGGTTCAGAATCGCCATCGGCATAGCGCGCGGGCTGTCGTGTCTGCACCATGATTTGCGGCCGCAAGTGTTGCACCTCAACTTATCCTCCATGAACATCCTCCTCGATCAGAGCTTCGAGCCTAAAATTAGCGACTTTGGGCTGATGAAACTGCTACCGATTCTCGACACGTACGCCGCCAGTCGAAAGTCTCTCGAGACGCGCGTGTACTCAGCCCCGGAGCTTTTAGGCCCACAACCGAGTGTGACGCCAAAGTGCGATGTGTACAGTTACGGCATGGTGTTGCTGGAGTTGATGACGGGCAGGCACCCTGATTCGAAACCCGATGGTGGACCGAATGCATTAGTGGAGCTTGTGATTCGAACTTTGGAGAGTGGAAATGGACCAAACTGTTTCGATCCCAAGCTGACTAGCTTTCCGGAGAGCGAGGTCGTTCAAGTTCTGAAACTGGCTCTTGTGTGCACCTCTCAAGTGAGTAGCTCCACAACTTTATCTCTGTCAATTTGCGTGCGCTTCGTGGATCTTCTCTGCTAGCAGTTCTTTGATATCTAGATGTGTGTGTGTGTGGTTGTTCAGGTGGCCTCAAATCGACCAACAATGGGGGAAGCAGTACAAGTATTGGAATCAATAAAGCCCTCTGGATCGTGGACGTCGAGAAGCCCATCACCTTAGCCAAGATTGAGCTCAAAAGAATAGTAGTTCCTCGCACCCGATTGCATCTGATACCACCATAACTAGCTCGGCAGTGACAGGAATTTAGTCTTCCGCTCTCGGGACTTGAACGCTTTCGAAGCTCGCAAAATTTCTGCAGGAGGGGTACGATTAAAAGCCTCTGCTTGCCATCCTCACCACCCTCAGTTTCTTAGAATTTTTTGACTGCCGTCCGATTATGTCAGGAGCTCACGCTGATCATTTGTTTGTATTGCAGGTCGAAGAAAATGATTTAATATTTTCAGTAAGATAATAAGTCTTCAACTCCTCTCAAATTGGGATCTTTACTTTCAAAAGCAGCAGCAGCCCCATTCTGCTCCAAGGACTCGCAACGCTGGCAATAAAGCTTCTACGCTGTTCGCACTTAAAATTACTTGTATGAATGTTACGTCACGGTTTTTCACAAAGTACTGAAACAAATCCTAATGCACTGCTTGCGCTGCACGTTTCTGGTGTGTTCGTGCTCGTCTTATTGGTATCTGAAAATAGCAATCTTTATAAGCGATCGAATTCTGATGGTTGTTTTCCCAAAGCTGATGGTGCTGAGAGGCAAGTGAAAAGTAATGCAAACTCTGCATGGCTTTTGGAACTGTTCAGAGTTCTTACTTTCAAAGTACACATGAATCTACTCGCTATTTTAGCAACACTAAAGTAACTGTATGCATCATCATTAGCATCCCTAGGCGGTTCATTAGATTTTCATGATATTTCAACGCCCACAATTTATCATCTGCTGACTTACCTATAATTTCAACGTCTAAAATTAACATTCAACCATATTTCTATTTGACTACATACATGTCTCTGTTTGATTTTGGGGATTTGCTTAACCAACTAAAGGCTGAGAAGAGGGCCTTCCAGTATTGCAAGGGGCAATGAAGATCTAGAAACTGGGAAAAATGCACTCACTTGCTAGATGCCAAACAGATATGTCTCAGAATTTATAATATTCTTTAGCTGTGCGAATTCCCGCTCCGCTTCAGTGCTGTAAGTCAAACGTTTACATACGCCCGTCTGCGCCTTGAGGCTCTTGAGGGCAGTCATGTCCACAACTATTTTGAGCCTCAACTCTGGCAAAGTAGCAGCACGTCAATTCCTAATTTAGATGAAAGCAACGCACTTCGTAGTCTATCTCAACATCACGACGGTCCATATCAATCCAGCTCTGCAACTGCTAGGAAGGTGATTTCTGCAAAGCTGGTGATGGGGGTGGTGACTAGGAAGAAATCTCATGCTCCACAGCAGCTGATTGCTGAAAAAGTATCGTTGGCTCACTCAGCTCAAGAGACTTGTGCCTACTGAATCGATCCACACATGGATGCAACTTGGAATAACAAATGTTAAAGAAAACAAACCAAAGAGAAACAGGACATGACTTCGTGATTGAAATTTATCCCTGATACAGTCCCCCACAACCAAAACTCTGGATTACATACAGAAAGTTGTGGATCAAATGTATCAACCCAAGGTTTCCACAAGAAAGAAGTGAAACTAAGAAGGTTCAATAAAGTTACAGCATCTAATGCTCGCGTGTATTTGGCAAAAGTCATAATTTGAGATGAGAGCTCAAGCTTCACTGCAGATGAACTCAGTCAATGGTGGAGAGAACAAAAATAATTAAATAAATAAATAAAAGTTGAAAGGAACATCCAAGTAGGACTGAAATGTACTTGCAAGTCACGGGGACATAAATGGTTCACTTTATTTTATGCTTAAAAAGAAGTTGTGCGTGCAATGCTGCCTATTCTATACACGAGCCAGCGAAAATGACTGAGTATTAAGTGACTGGATAACATGTAGACCTATGTTAGATTCTACACTTACGAAAGCTAGGCTACTCATTGAACTGTCAAAACCAAAATGCAAAAGCATGCAAAACTTTAAATCGGTTACAAAAGCCGGAGATGCCTAGTAAGTGTGTCCACAGATGCCTTTGTTCCTGCAACAGAACCACGAAGAAGCCCTTCAGAAAATTGATCTTAAGGCAAACTTCAAGATTACTTGGCGATAATACAGACCATGCGGGAGTTACAAAAATTTGTCTGATGTACAGAGGAAATTCCTAGAACCAAAAAACCCTGTGCTCTTAGTGTTCAATTAAACGATCAACTCTACCTGGCCCGATCACAAGAACCGTCTTCGATCCAGCAGCCACCTGGTCAGACAATTTGAATATTTCGAGGGATTCAGCAGCAGATCTTGTGATTTTGTAGTAATTTATCGTAATGACAAAAGTCAAAGGCTTGAAAATTCAAGTGTTAGAAAATGTAGCATCTTCAGAAAATATGATAAAACCTGAGTTCGACCAGCATCAGCAACGGTGTAGGTTGGTAGCCCAGCGCCGTCTGCTTTGCCGCGCAGCTCATTCCTATTCAGTATAGCATCATAATCCAGTGCACCACACAAATTATGCTGGATGTAGTACTTTTGAGCTTCTGACCTCACAACGTCTCATCCTAGAAGAGTTGATGTGGGTTCAAATGTTGGTTAAAATATGCTGTCGAAATTTACCATACAAATGTTGTCGTTATTTAAATGCTAATAGATCCATGGAAATACACGCACACACACAGTGTCTTACATTTCTTTCTGGTTTCTGCATGTTACAACAATTTTAGGCTGCCCACAATCTTCCCATCTCTTCAACAAAGCTCTGTTTCTCGTAAGAAGTTCATTATATATGCCGACCGCTGCATCTGCGAAGTATAAGTGGTTTCAGAGTTAGAATATTGAGCTTGGGCCTTACGAAAACATGCAAGATGTACAATGAATGACCGCAATCTTTTTACTTCAAGTGAGCTACATTTTAAAGAGCACGACAGTAGGCTGGTGATCATTTGCAGCAACTCTCTAATATCCAAAAGAAACATCCCAGAACTGCGTAAACTTTCCTAAGCCCGATTGTCTTACAATCTCTAGTGCAAATCTCAACAGCCATAGATTATGGATGAACTCTAAGCGAATCTTTTCAGAACAAAAGGACATATTTTCTAAAGTCATAGTAAGAGATTATCTTACGTGCACATTGAGCTGCAATCTTCCCTCCTCCCATTTTCAGATCTTGACGAACGACAAAGACCTAGGCCAGAGTAACACTTTGAAATGTTCCATACTAAAAGTCTGACATTTAGAGGTAAAATCGAGAGCAGACAGTACGAGAATGACAAGCGTAGTCAATCTAACAAGACAGAGGGGACTAACTAACACGGTGAACCTGTACCATTAAAAGTTATCCACGATCTATATGCGATGATCTGCCTCACGCATTCAAATTCTGGTTAGAGTAAGGTCTTACCATTTTCAACTCCTCACCATCGTCGCCTATTTGGCTGACACTTTGGTTTCCAACAATTCCTTTCTTCTTAGGAACTGGATTTTGACGAGAACTCCCAAATCCTCTCTTAGGCAATTCCACCCAAAGGCCTAGCAAAAATCCTACTACCATACCTGGCAGTAAGCTGGCGGGGTTTAGGGCTTTGGCCAACCATGGCTGTGTCTTCTTTTCCCTCCCCTACGTATTCAACAAACTGTGTGTCAGCACAAAACAGATTCACAGCTGATCACCTGTCACCAGAAAGGGGCGTTTGGTAACGAAATCACAAAGAATATGACGAGTAGGGTAGTTCAGGCCTAAATTTGAACTCTTTGAGAGGATACGTGAGAGTGTGGTGTTCTAATTCAAATGCTCAATACTTAAGCCCTAATTCAACATATTCATGCCATTCGCACACGAGTTTAGCACAATCTGCAAACGAACAAAAAACAAAACAAAACAAAACAAAGCAAAGCAAAAACTCTAAGGTCATAGTACGAAATGTACAAGATAGCAATTCCCTCGAGCTAAACAAAAACTTCGGTCGCAGGTTCTCCAGAAAATATACGAAAGCCGCAAGGAAGCTCAACACAGATGAGATACGAGCAATCCATTGTCTCAAACGTCATCCCCAATTGTGGTTTATTTTCGTCAGCGAGTCAAGATCCTCTTCCACAATTGTATAGATACTCCCTACGCGCACAAGGGTAATCCATTCCCAGACCCCCAAAACACCGTCGCGAGTCAAAGACATGAAAACCAGAACACAAACAGGTTGAACGAAGAATCCGCGACAAACGAAACCACAGGCAGCTGGTTGAATGATGTGAGGACTCACGGGCTGGTGAGAAGCTCCACGGCCGATGCGTGACCCAATCATCGAACCCAGTTCGCGAGTCCAAATTCATGCGCCGTCCCACTCCTGCTGCATCTCTCTCCCGCATCATCCAAACTCACAACACACAGCGCCAGCTTCGTCGCTGCGGACGGTGTGTGTGGTGGCCAATGCGTCATCGACGATTCTCACCGACGTTCCCGTCCGTCGGACGACGAACTAACGAGGAGACGTTCCTCGTTCATCGACCAACAGGGGACTAAGCATGCCGAGCAAATTCTGCTTCACAGGAATTCAAGGGGCGAAATGGAGACTGGTTATTAATGGGGTGTAAGACCAGGAAGAATGGTTGTGTGGAATTGTATTCTTTAAGATGATATTATAGAAGATGTGCATGTGGGTTTGCACAAGAGAATACTATGTTCAGTGAAGACTAAGAAGCTTATTCTTTGATGAGGATTGGGGATGTAGTTGAGTGCATATGTTTTGCACCCAACCTCCTTTCCCTATGCATAACATTATATAGAGAGAGAGAGAGGGAATTGTTAAATTGACCCAAGTATTTACTAAATTCACCCTCCCATTTTAACCATCATTAAAAAAATTCTCCATTGCTGGAGAAAAATAGTTGGATCCTCAATTTAGAAAATTCTTGGGTCTATTTCCCTTTATTTATATATATATATATATATATATATATATAAGAACTAGTTGGAGCAAGGAGAACTTCTTTGGCGTAATCAATTTGAGGATTTTGTGCAATCTGTAGGCAAAGTTGGTTTGTACTACATTTCAATACATTGAAGCTTTAAGAATTTGTGGACATACTTCTATATATATATATATATATATATATAATTCTATTTATTTTGGAAGAAAGTGTGTTTACAATGAACTTACATTTTCTTATGCTGTTGAACATTGTTAATTAGTAAGGTAGTTCTTACCTTTATTTGTTTTTAAAATTAAAACGTCTTTTTTAAAGTGTTTTGGCAATGATTTGTGTAAAAATCATAGTATTTCATAGTGAATTCCTATTGCAGATTGAAAACATAGACGTATAATATTGATTTGATAAGAGTGTGCTATTTGTTTTTGGTATGTCATGTATATTGTGTTGTGAAATAAATGGAAGTAAAGCTGTTAAATTATTCTTTTTAAATAATCCTTGAAAAACTCAAACATTTGTAAAAATTCGTATAGCTGATGTGTGTAGTAATATTAGGAAATATTTGTGAAACTAAGTTTTTAATATACATACATTATATATATATATATATATATATATATATACACGTTTTTATTTTTGTTTCCTTTGTTATTGGGTAATGGTGTGACACATATATTTCCTAAATTAGTCGCCCATTATCACAATAAAAATAAAAAATCAAGCTTCTACAGCAAGAAAAAAAAAAGCATCTTGGATAAGCCCCCTAAAGGACAATGCTGGAAATACCTTACTATTGATCTTTTTATTTTGAAAAAACATGATTGTTGACCATTTTGAGAATACTTGTAAAAATTGAGCAGAGGTTGATTTTTTAGACAATTGACAAGTTTTTGGAAAGATAATGAATTAATTTCTATAAATTCAATACCTGCCAATACTTACAAATGAAAAAACATACATGCATGAATAAAACTACAACTCCTGTGCAATACCACGAAATTTAAAACGAATGCTCAAAGCATCACAATTTGCAATATTGTAAATGTTACATTAATACATTATCACAATCACTCTTGAATACATCAACTTATGAATTCGATACAAGTTTTACTCTTACTACAAGAGAATTAGAATAAAAAATACTAACAATCTAATAAAAATCTATTGAACAGTACAATAAGGTACAACTTAATAACTTGAGTTTGACATACCAACTTATTTCAAACAATTATATCCTAAAATCAATTTAGAGTGTGTCTCCGCACCGCCACCGCCACCGCAACGGAATCGCCTAGGCAATCTCGATCGGGAGGCCGATGTCCATCTCGTCGACCCAAAACGATTCTTAGTACGATGCGTAAGGACGTGGTGGAGTACAAATCATAGAAAAGCATGTACCTGCAATTGGGTCTACACGATCGGCGCCGCACACTCGAAGGGAGCAACGGGAAACCGCTCTTTGTCGGTGCAGTAATCGTAAACCATGAAGTTGTGATTCACCCATTGCATCTGGCCGACGCGGTTGGCGGGTATGGATTGAAACCACTCCGCGTTCCACCACTCGGCTGCAATGGGAAGAGACAGAGAACGCGTGAGAGATCATTGAGGTGGGGTTTGCAGTTGCTGCAGCAAGCTAAAGTTGATCGCAAGCGATGAGGAGGGGAGGAGAGGGGCGGATGGTAGCTTACTTGAGGTGGGAGCTACACAAGGATCGGCGACCGAGGTGGTCACCGTCTCATTGACCACGCAGGAGTCCATGGTGAAGTTGGCGTAGTGGGCATGGAATGGGGCATTGTTGAAGTCGATCTTGTCGAGGCCACCGCGTGTTGCCCAATTCGAGGCGTCGAAGATGCTAGAATACACGCCCATGGGCTGCTTGCTCAAGTAAGGCTGGCCGTGCGCTTCGTTGTTTTGGAACACCCTGATTAGCATGTCGTCCACGTACATCCTACCAATCCAATGCAGTCCAGTTTATTGGCCCACCCCTATTCCTGACTCGCAGCTTTTAAAACTTGTGAAAGAGGAGGGTTTCCGACTGCAGGGATGGTCATGGAAAGAGGAGCTTACGAGATGGATTTGTGATTCCAGATGACGCTGTACGTATGAAACTCGGAGCGGGGGTCGAACCATAGAAATATCCGCTGCTCTCGGTTGCCGATTCCGTTGGCATACACGTTTGTTTGCAGAACATAAGGCTCTCCGGTGACGTTGCCAAGAAACTCAAAATCTACTTCATCGTGGTTGTGGCCCTGAGACGAAAGCTGCAATGTACAGTAAGGCTCACAATATCAGGAATGTGGACAATGACTACGTGAAGAGTCATCTCGTGCACAGTATTTCGGGAGCCCATAAATCTTTGGTTAATTCGAAATCTGCCAGGCTCCCGCCCAAATTCTGTACAGAACGAAGAAGCGTGGAGAAGTGTCAAGAATAAACAAGCGAGTAAGAATATGCGGCGGATAAAGTCGTTGAAAATATTCTTGGAGCTCCCTGTTCCCAAGAGAACTGAAGACCAGTCCTCCCACACCGTATCAAAGGTTCATTCACGAAAGCCAAAATCTCACAGAAAACCCCCAACCTCGTGATAACCACCATCCATGACGAAAAACGTTCAGGCTGATGAGATATATACTAGGGTCTGTAGATACGGATAAGATCCGGCAAAGCAGACGTCCGCTGCAGTGAAAGCTAAAATGAAAGCTGTGAACATGACGACTTAACCAAGCAGCATGGAACGATCACATACATAAAAAGCTGTAACAGTGCCTGCAGAGTTGCCAGAATGCAGCTTAATCGAGGCTCGGAAGTAGCCGTACAAGTATTTGCTTGTGGACGATACAGCCGTTCCTGCACACCGATAACGTATTTTCAGCAATCAATCATCGTGCAAAGCTTGACGTGAGAAGATGCCCGTTACACTGAACAATCAAACACTGAAGAAAATATTGCATTGGTAAAAAATGACTCAAAACCATAGATGGCCTAAACGGCAGCCTGAACTGAAATTAGTGTGCACAAATTTAATCCCCACAACAAAATACCAAAAACCATCTTAACACGTGCATCGCAAAAATCTGTACACTCGACTGCAGTACACTGGTGCTAGCTAGATGAGAATAGAAATGCGACATTACTCATGAGTTTCTCCTCGCAGCCTTATCAGCACAACCGGGGCACTACAACAATTTGGAACCATTTGCGCTTGCATCCAGCGCATCCAGAAATAATTACATTACAATACGACCGTACAGGTTACTATCATCAGGACTTCTCAACAGAGCCAATTGCTGTACTGCCACGCTCAAAGACGAATTGTACACTGATTGATGTGATAAACAGTGAAGTTCTCTCCGACTAACGCATGCACTAACTGACCTTCGAAAATTGTTAGTTAATCAGCTCCAAACTAATCCTGAGCCATAAAAATGCCACATCACCCGCGCACACACACGTACTTTCCCGAAACCGAGATCGAACCCAATCACAGATAATTTAACAGCCTCCCAATTGAGCAATCCAGCTCACCTGATTGCCTATCGAGGCTCAGCTGAAGCGTGTGGCCGCCATCCACAGCCGCCACATTGGATTCCGACCACGCCACAAAGAAACTCTTCTGAAACTTGGAGTACTGAAACGGCGTGAAAGTGTTCCTGATGCTCAATGGCCTACCAGCTCCACAACCCCGTATCATGCAGCTGCAGCTTATCAGCGCCAGCAACAGCAACATCATCAGCTTCGACAGAGCCATGGCTTCGAGCTGAGTCCACTCACAACGAGGCCAGAACTCCGTTGAGGAATCGTCTCTCAGCTCACAACTGACGACGACTCTACATTCCCACAGCTTAACCACCAGCTTCAAGTGGACGCCGCCCCCAACAATCCTGGAGACTTCCGGTAGAGCTCAACAGAATTAAGCCCTTATGCATAAGCTGGTGGAGTCTCTATCGGCGTGACGGGAACAGGTCGGTTCCCGTGCCCGCCTCTTGTCTGTGTGCACACAAGGATCACACTGGCCAAGGCTTGGCTATAGTCCTGCTAGACTTGTCAACCTCTGTACTGCCCCATTGTTTGGTATTAGTCCTTCTCGGCCTCTTTCATCAAATTTGCAATGCATTATTTCTTTCGTCAACGACTTTTGTCAGCCGGATAACGAGGGATTCTGAAGACGTGACAAGCTCCATCAAGTGAAGTCAGGACTAGTCTTCATAGACAATTGAGACGACAATTTAGGGAACGGAGCAAGATCGTTGCTGCAAAACTTACCTGTTGCAAGCTTGTGCCGTCGCTGGTAATGGGGGATAGTTGGCGATCTACATACAACTCGTCATCAGCCAGTCATTGTGAATTTGTGAGCTATTATGAAATGGCTACAACTAGTAATTATGCTTCAGTTATGAGTGTAGCAGGGTAAAATCAACTGCGCAAAAAACATCTTATTTTTGGGAAAACGCCATGTTCACCATCGTCAAGCAGACTTACCTTCACTTCATCATTGGTAGTGTGAATTTGGACTTGTCCCAGTTTTCCGTGCTTTTGTCAAGGGTAAGATCCTAGACAACCTCTGAAAACCATTTTGAAATCCTACCCACTCTACATAGCAAAAGTTGTTATCAACTACGAACTTCAAACCTACCAAACTCCACAAGGATGCAATCAGCCCCTTCTCTGCGAGGCTTCTCGCACAATGATGAACATACGGACTACCTACACGATAGGCAATAGTAAATGAAAGCTACTGTCTGATATGTTGAAAGATCTTATGTCCATCCCAGTGCTGACATTTTTTCGATTTTCAAAATAAAGTAATCGTGGCCGGCATCAGTGCTCAGACAGCAACAGATAACCAACCAATCAAGACCGGTGATATATCGAGAGTCATGCTCCTAAAGTCACGAGAAGGTTGCATTTACTTCCAGTACCAATGCCCTGGCACCAGATTTGTAAATTTAAAAGCTTTACAAATACAATTAACGGAATCGAAATCCAGCCCATCAGTCATCATCTGAGTTATCAGAATCAATGGGATAAGTGTTCTCTAAAGGAATATCTTCAGTGACACGAGAGTATTCATCGACTCCCACCTTTCTCCGGCACTTAGCATACAAACTGTTGAATAGACACGAGGAGCAGGTAGTAATAACTAATGTAAGCAGGATAAGCAAGATAGGGCTCATCATAGGACCGCCCTTCGCACCAAAAATCCCTCTCTTAGCACTGGCATCGTAGAGGGTTTGCAGATCTATTTTACTCATTCTTGCGTCATCCAGTTTTTTCCATGTAAGTATATCTGGAGTGGCTTTTGCAACTCCCTTCTTATTCTTCAGAGAGGCTTGGACCACTCGAGCTCGTCGAGACCATCCCACCTTCCTGCACCACAGGATACACCAGTCACACTGATGAGTAGCAAAAATGAGCGCACTCGAATCTGGAAATAAATTGAACCATCCATAGTCACCTCCCAGTATTCTCAATAAGTCTCATGAACAGCCAACTGATAAATTCAACACGAATAGAAATACAACACGAGTGCGACGACATTGAGAGCTGGTTAATAATCTCGGCAAATGATTAGAAAAGGTGTCAACAACGCAGATGGAAATGGCAAGGAATGGGTGTGTGCTTAAAAAATAACTGTGATTGTTGAAGACTTGACATACCCGTATGCATGATAACCTGTGCCACCACCGTAGCAGAGATGGATGCCCAATAGGTCCCCACAATAATCATTCGTGTGGTCATGCCCAGCAAACGTAGCCTTCACGTCTCCAGCTTGCAAAAGCGCTGTAAAGAAGCCTGAATTTATCGAAGGAGAGAGAACAGCTTCATGCTTCTCACCAAGAACCTTGGATGGGTCCTTTAGTACGGACTCATATTCGGGAATTGGAATGTGGATGTATGCTAGCGCTGGAGTTGGAGTTGATGCCTCAGGTGCTGAACCCTAAACCATTGAAGACCATCACCCAAATTGCAAGATTACAATCTTAACCTAATTCCGCAAACCTTAGAGTGTCCTTCCCTTGATAAAAGTTGGAAAAAAATAACACAGAAAATAAAATAAAATAAAATAAAATAAAGTTACAGAGTACATATTCATATTCTAACATAAATTTCAAAAAATGTTACCGTAAGCATCCCTCACCCGAAGCTTGGCTGCTAGGAGTTGATACCAGAGGAGCTGGTTTGCTCGTATCCAATCATAACCGCCGACGGAAGGTACCTTTGAGTACTCCCCAGTGTCTAGAAAATAAAGGTTTAGCAAACTCGTGTTCTCGGATTCTGATCCTGACGGACCAAACACCTGGAGGTAGTAGTTTCCAACGCCATTGACCTGGACAGGCATCTGACTTTCGTCTTGACCTAAAAGAGACCCCATACTGGGATTCAAGATTTGCGAAAGGGAGTAGTCCATTTGGGTCAAATACTTCATCACGTCTTCTCTGGGAATACTTGATTCGTGGTCATGGTTGCCTAAAATTGCAGCCCAAGGTATCTTGGCAGCGATCACAGGTTGAAACGCTTCGTCCATAGATTTTGTGGCATTTTTGGAATCGAAGTCGATGTTGTCACCTGCTCGAACACGATTTAAGATCCAAAATTTAAGATATGAATCGTGTATTGGTGCAAACCACCTTGCCCAGCATCCAGACAAAATCCATAAAAGATGGGCCAAACAAGTTATGTTGCATTTACTTAGCCGCTCTTAACATTGAGAGGAAACGGCAACGCTGATCGAGTGGATGCCAACCAAACGCACCTGTAAAGACAACGAGATCTGGTTTTTCGCTTGATAGAAGACGCTGAATGAACAAAGTGGTGTTCTGGTCCGAGCATCTCCTTAGCTCTTTAGCTACCAAATCTCGGCATGGGGTTTTTTCTCCATTGGCGTAGTGCATATCTGCAATCTGCGATCCCCGAACTAGTCCTTCTTGTCAGATTTGACGAAATGAATCTATTAAGGAGATAAATTCACTAGGATGCGTACTTCATCACCAGGCATCGGCGACGAAGTTGAATTTGCCATTGCACAAAAACCTCCCAATTCTGCCCCTAGATTTTAGAAAATCCACAACCCTGGTAAAATTTTATGTGACTTAAACCTAAGCTTTCAAATCCAAAAATGCTCTGCGCAAGTACAGGTTTCTGCCATGCACACCTGAAAATAAGATCATCTCTACTCATACTGCAACAATTCTATAAAATAGACAAAAACCCTACAGGCACAGTACCTGAAGAATTTTAAAGATGCCCTCGCTGTTGAAGTGCAGAGTTGTAGGTGCAGATGGATCCGCGCTTACTAGCGGAGAATTTGGGAACAGCAAACTTCTCCCCGACACAATCAACAGAAAGACCAGGTACCTCGACGGACATGCTAGAGATGGCACCCATATCCAATCCATACTCCAAGCACCAATCGAAATGGCTGGTTTTCACACCCCACAAATTCTGAAACCTTCACTTCCTCAAAAGAATCCACCTTACCAACTTCAACAGTACATGATCCAGGATCAAATTTGACCCAGTTATCTCCACTGCTCAATTCTTCACTAAGAATCGAATTTTAGAAAGATTATACAATTGCGCAGTAAAGTGAGCAGAAATTCCAAGCCCATGCACACGTAAGAGAGGCACTATCGGGAAATTCTCCGTTACCGAAGGGAGGTGGAGACTCTTTTCGGAAGAACTTGGACCGTCCAGATTGTCATCGAGCGGTTTGACAAGTCTGTTCGTCCAAATGGTGTTTATGAAGCTGAGGGGAAATCCTTCAAGAATTGTCTTCCCTCGTTGGGCTTCTCTGGGTTTTTCAGCATACACAATCATGCTATTAGTCTCGTAGCAGGATTTGCAGGTTTAGATTTAGGCATGGCTACTGTAAGGATGAGGATGCTGCTGCTTCCCTCGTCTTCTAATGCGTCAATTATTCGCCGTTTCCTCCATTCTCCCTCTCATCTTTCATATCCTTTGGTCCCTTCTGCTCCTTTGCCTTCTTCGTTTCTTTCGCTGCGGCCCCGCCCACCCACAACCCTTTCTTCTCCTCAGACCTTTTTCGCTTCGCCTATTCTTTCTCTTCGTTTTGCCCCTCAATCTTTCCAGGTGCGCTGCGGCGGCAGTCTGAAAGCTAAGGGTAAACCTCGTGGCCCACTATGGCGCCAGCGCAAAGGTGTCAGCAAAGAAGCATTGCAGGTTGTGTTCGAGCTCAAACGATGCAAGGGCGACAAACAAAAAGAGAGAGTGGTGAGTGGTTTCCTTCTCCAATCAGAATCCCAGCTCTCTTCATTTTGCGACATTATATGTCAGACCTAAATTGGTGAATTCTTTGTGGTGATTCTAGGTATTGCAAAACAGTGCTTCACGGTTGCTGAAGATGGATTTACTCATGGTGCTTGAAGAGCTCCGTCGCCAGCAGGAATGCTCCCTTGCCAAGCAGGTCCGACCTAAATGTTATTTTAGTTTCACCTTGAAAACTCCATGTGCTCTGTACGGGCATTGCTTTTAAATTCTATCTCTGTGAAAGCATTCACTTCCTTCCTCCCAATCGATCGAGCCGATTCTCTACCTCTCTCTATCACATCTTGGATAAAGACCCTTCAATGTTATATTCATCTTCATCAATCTACAAGTTTTAACATGATTCTATGAAAGTTTTGTACTATTAACACGCTGTTGGGTAATTCTATTCAGGTCTTTGATATGGTGCGTAAAGAGGAATGGTACAAACCCGACGTATTTTTGTATCGAGAAATGATGGATACATTTGGGAAGAATAAATTGATGGAGGTATGTCTTTGTCCATGTGTCAGGTCTAATTAATAAGGATCGGTTCATGCTTTGTTTTTGAGACTCACCTGTTGTATGATCTATGCCTTCATGCAACTGTGATCACGACCCTCAATTTATTCATTTGGGATCTGTGGAGGATGTCAATCACAAGTCAAGATCTCCTACATGTAACTGTACCACTTACCTTGTGAGGAATAATGTAGAAACTCACCATTCGAGAGGGTTGCTACAATCATCAGGTGACGGGAGCAAGTGCTAATTTGTTCGACCTTTCTTTCTCGTCCACAGGATGTTGAGGAGTTCTATCAACAGATGCAAGAAGAGGGCCTCGCTCCAAATGCCATGATACTGACAGAGATGATGGGAGCTTACATCCGCAACAACAATATCACCCGCGCATACGAAATTTTTGAGGAAATTGAGCAAGGAGGCCATCAGCCAGAATACGTTATGTATGAAATCCTTTGTCGTGGGCTGAAGAAAGCAGGAGATTTTGAAAAGCTGAAGATTGTCATGGAGGCTTGTGAGAGAAGGTTTCCAGACAGTCCACCTCCATTCTCCAAGATGGTTATGGAGCGTGGCATGTGATCATCTCTTTAAAAAAAGGCTATGATTATTTTGACCCTCTTGACATATAGCATTTTTGTAAGACTTTGAGACAAGTAGTTACCAAACGAGAATTCTTGGAGATGAGCATTGTTTAGGGTTTAGGGTTTACATGTACTGCCCTTTAGATTCTCCAAAAAACTCTGTAGGTGTTTTAAGAGCTTGAGAGTTGGCATCAGCGCAGTTTTAGACTCTGATCACGCTGGGCAGTGGCGCAAGTGAGAAACTTAGATGTACATTTTTCAACATCTTTACAGTATCAGGTGAATTCCACCTCGCCTATATTTGCACTTTTTACATTTGCTCAATATTTCATGCTAGAATACTAAAGATGTTGGAGCCTGACAGTAAATCCAGGATTTCATTGAAGGTGTTTAGTTCATCAACCACTTCATTAAGGTGTGGCTTGAGCCATGAAGGAATTGTGACCTCATATACCTCACAGATTAAGATATACCCATTTGAATGTTTAAATGTAAATTTTAAGTCAGTCTTAACGTATATTTATTTTTATATCATTAGTTTGTCTAGTACAGATGAAACCATTTGTCTAGTACAGATGAAACTATCTGCGTATAGAACATGGAAGTATTAGTTTCAATGTTGATAATATTACTACTTAAAGTTACATACATTAGACTTTATTTTTGATAGAAAATATATCACCTCCTTCTAGTCACTAGAAAGGTTAAAAATTACCTGAATAATGATGAACCTTAAGTTACCTAAGGATTGGAAGTTGGAACCAAAAGATTGGCAATTCAGATCCCAACAGTGAGATTTTTAATCATGCTTGATAAATTTTAGTCTATAGAGATAACGACTCTTTGATGTTTTGAAATAAAATAAGGCTAATAATTATAAATCAAAAGCTTGAAATTAATTAGAACTATTCTAATCAGAATGAACAAGAACTATTTTTTCACTAAATGATATTAGTTTTTGCTAAGTTTTTCTCAAAATCACTTATATTCATTTTATAGCATAAGTTTTTTTTTATTGCCTATTTATAAAATAGGTATAAATTATGCATATTCAGACAAATATATATATATATATATATATATATATATGATTTATTTAAATACTATATACAAAATTTTATTTTGGCTCTAAAAAATGATTATTATAAATTAAACAACAAACAAGTTTTTTAAAAGTTGCTTGAAATTTAGGATTTGTATAAGATTTTTTAGATATTGTCAAAGTTTATTTAATATTTCTTTAAAAATGTTTTGAGTTTTTAAAGGTTTCTTTTAGAATTAGATTAAAGTTTCTTTAGAAATTCTTCAAGATATTTTGTAGATTTTGTTAGGATTTTTTAATTTATTTAGGATTTTTATAGGTGTTGCTTATGATTCTTATAAAGAATTGACTAAAGTTAGTAGGATTGAAATTTAGGATTGATACAATTTAGAATTGCTTCAATTTAGAATTTCTAGGACAATTAAGGTTGTCAAGAAGGATTTTTTAAACACCTTATTTTTCTAAGATTATATAAAGAATTTTGGACTTTAGATAAATTTCTTCTATAGCCAAATGCTTAGCACATTTCTAAGCTATATTCTCATAATGCATTAATTGACTCTATTTATTTAATTAAAGATCAAACCTAATAGAGTCTAGATAATAAGAAAACCCAAAATTAATGGATCTGAGGTAGACCAAAAATACTCACCAAAGAATAGGACAATAGGACATAGGATTCTTTGGTGGGTCAAAAATATTGGATCTATCTAAGAATTGGATATCCTAACTGGAATCCTAAATCCTAAAGAGGTAGATCAAATCAAAATTAATTCATAAGGATGTTCAAAAATCCAAGGTATCTATGTAATCTTAATCTTTAAAATCATAAATTCTAAATAATAAACCTTATATTTCTAATTCCTACATCCTTTAAAGCCTAAATCCTAAAACTTCTAAACCATAGTGTAAAGACATCCACTTCAATATTAGATATTTTATATGTAGTGTATATGGGCACAACTATGAATTAAATATTGTAAAAAAAAATTACTTCAAATTAGTTATTTTGTGTTTATAGTATCATAGAATAAGTTTAAAGACAAAACTAGTTATTTCAAAATGAAAATATAAAAAAGATACTCTTATTGATTTTAAAGCTTAATATCTTGTATACTAAAAACATGTTTAAGTATCTAGTTATACCACACAAATTACAAGCATCGAATAAGAGGATAGGTGATTTCAAAAGTCTAAAAACATTATTTTGAAAACCTTAAGAAGATCCTTGTAACTTCTAAACTCTAAAGCTTAAATCCTAATTTTTGGTTGCAATTTCAAAAGACTTATATTTCTTAAACTATATATTTTCTAAAGATTTTTAACATACTATTAAAATCACAAGCATTGAAAATAGAGGTGTAGGTCAATTATAAATTCTAAAAAGGCAAGGTAAAATAAATGTAAACAAAAACAATTACCAAGATAAAGTCTTTATTTCTAAAAATTAAAAAACATGTAGAGCATTCTAAGCACATTATTAGATTTTTTAGTCTAAAAATGTGGATAGGTCGAATTAAAACTTACAAAAATCTTACCAATTGCATAGTTAATATAAAAAATAAAATCATAAAACCTTCAATATCTATAATTTCATAGATTTTTGAAATAAGTTAAATAAATATTTAGATTTGGTAATGCTAAAATGGAGATGGAGGCCTATTTAAAACTTACAAAATATTTTTTATACCAAAAGTTAAAATTCTAAAGCTTAAGTTAACGTAGCTATATCTTGCAAATAAAAAACTTGTGTAACAAATTATGTATTCTATTATAATCCTAGATTCCAAATTTAAAGTGGTATATCAAATCAAAATTAAAAAATAAGAATTAAAAAACAAAAAAAAAAAATACATGTATATATGCCAAAATCTTAAATCCTAAATCTGAAATATTTATGTAATTCTAAATTCTAAATTTATAACTCCTAAATCATTAATTTCTAAATCCTAAATCTTAGACTCTAAATTGACATGACAATTTACAATCTATTATATAAGCTTAAAATTTAGATTTTGTGGTTTAAAGACTTATATATATATATATATATATATATATATATATGAATTTATTTATGATATAATAAAAACTTAGTATAAAGAAGATATTATACAAATATAATATAAATGTATGATTAATTTATTATTATCATTATTATTTTTACATAATATACATAGTATTCTTTTGTAATTTTAAAACTCTCATATCTCATAAATAATATGCTTGATAAATATCTTTAACTTACTATTGAAATCATTAGCATAAAGAATAAAAGAAGATAAGCCAATTCTAAATTCTAAAAAAAAAAAGAAATTAAAAAGAAAATCAACAAAAAAAAGGTATCAAGTCAAAGTCTTTATATCAATAATTTAAAAAAAAAAAAAAAAAAACTTAGGTAATTTAAAATCCAATATTAGAGTTGTGGAGCCAAAAAAAAGAATGGAGTAGGAAAAATCAAAACTTACTAAGTCCTAACCACTTGCAAAGTCAACAAAAAAATCAAAATAGTGAAATCTTCAATATCTAGAAATCCATACACTTTTAGAGCAACTTTAATGCATATTTGGATTTGGCAACTTTAATATGCATAAAATAGTTTTTGCAAAACCTGCAAAAGATTTTATATGCTAAAAATAAAAACCAAAAAATTCAAATCAAAGTGGTTATATTTTGTAAGTTAAGAACTTTTTGCAAAAGTTATTTATATTGTTAAAATCTTAGATTCCAAAAATAGAGAAGCAAGTGAAACTAAAAATGTAAAATGTAAAAAAAGTGAAAATGCAAATGTAACTCTAAATTCTAAACTTCAAATTTTAAATTCTTTAACCACAAAATTTATAAATCCTAAATTCTTAATATTAAAAGTTAAATCTTTAAATCTTAAATCATAAATCCAAACTATATATATAGTGATATATGAGTATATTATCTTTTTGATATTATATAAAAATATTTTTTTGACACTTAATTTAAAAAATTTATGTTGTATCCTAAATAAAATACCTAAATAAAATACTAATAATAATTTATATTTAATATAAATAAAAAAATTTAAAAAATAAATTAATTCTTAATAATCTATTATAAATGTAATAATATATTTAAAGTTAAATTTTCATATCCTTTAAATATATAAATTATAGGATATCCTGATTTTAATGAAAGAATTGTAAATATAAAAAATAAAAAATAAAAAATTACTTTAATACTAGAAAAAATATTAAATTTTCTTAAAACTTTCTTGTAATTTAAATCCCATATCTTGCATTATAAATCCTAATTTTTAAAATCTTAGATTCAAAATCCTAAAAATATCATAGTTTTGAAGTTAAAAATTTTATAATAAAAATATTTAATTTTAAAGTTTGATTTAATAGAATTAATATCATAGATATTTAAATATCTAATTTTATTATATTTATTAAATTTATACTTTAAAAATAACACAAAATAGAGAAACTATGAAGTGAATGTTAGTTTGATCTAAATAAGAAATTTTATCTTAATTGTATTATATTTTTTAAATTTTAAATTAAAAAATATCATTATGTAAAGATATTCAATATCTATATCCTTATTAAGTATTGTCTACTTGATCTATAATTATAATTTTTAAATTTTATTTTTTAGAATAAATGTATTAAAAGTAAATTCTAAAATAAAAATCATATAAAATAATTATTTTGATACTTTTATGATGAAGTAAAAAAAATATTAAAAAATTATTTTATATATTTTTAATTATTACTATAAATAGATACTTTAGATGATTTTAATATTTTCAAATAAACATGCTATTTTAAAGATTTTCTTTGATTTTTTATAAAATATTTTTTTTAAAATACAATTCATTGAGTTATTTTCTATTTAAATTTGATTTTATCTGTTTTTAGATTTTTTATTTTCACCAGTGTATGAATATAATATTTCTAATTTTTAAAACTATTCTAATAATTTCTTGTTGTAAATGAATTATATATATAGATATATATTCTTTACATTATTACATCAATGATAGTCAAACCAATTAGATTATTTACTTTATTTGGAAATGGTCTCAAACTTGAGCACTTAATTGTATTAAAGATATTCAAAGATATAAGATTTTTCAATTCATTTGGCAATGATATCAAATTTAAATATGAGCTTATATCAAAGGAAGTCAATGATTCAAAACAATCCAACTTATATGACAATGGCATGAAACTTGAACACTTACTAATATTAAAAATAGTCAAAGATATGAAATTGCTTAATTTATTTAAAAATGA